TATAAGGGCTATTCGTTTGCCAAAGCGACACCGTTCATTGTTTGCATCCTTAAGTAGCTTTTTAGCTCACTACACATCAACCTACTATCGTATTTGTTGCTCACTACACATCAGCCTACTATCGTATTTGTTGCTCACTACACACCAACCTACTATCGTATTTGTTGCTCACTACACATCAGCCTACTATCGTATTTGTTGCTCACTACACACCAACCTACTATCGTATTTGTTGCTCACTACACATCAGCCTACTATCGTATTTGTTGCTCACTACACATCAGCCTACTATCGTATTTGTTGCTCACTACACACCAACCTACTATCGTATTTGTTGCTCACTACACATCAGCCTACTATCGTATTTGTTGCTCACTACACACCAACCTACTATCGTATTTGTTGCTCACTACACACCAACCTACTATCGTATTTGTTGCTCACTACACATCAGCCTACTATCGTATTTGTTGCTCACTACACACCAACCTACTATCGTATTTGTTGCTCACTACACACCAACCTACTATCGTATTTGTTGCTCACTACACACCAACCTACTATCGTATTTGTTGCTCACTACACATCAGCCTACCATCGTATTTGTTGCTCACTACACACAACCTACTATCGTATTTGTTGCTCACTACACACCAACCTACTATCGTATTTGTTGCTCACTACACATCAGCCTACTATCGTATTTGTTGCTCACTACACACCAACCTACTATCGTATTTGTTGCTCACTACACACCAACCTACTATCGTATTTGTTGCTCACTACACACCAACCTACTATCGTATTTGTTGCTCACTACACATCAGCCTACCATCGTATTTGTTGCTCACTACACACCAACCTACTATCGTATTTGTTGCTCACTACACACCAACCTACTATCGTATTTGTTGCTCACTACACATCAACCTACTATCGTATTTGTTGCTCACTACACATCAACCTACTATCGTATTTGTTGCTCACTACACACCAACCTACTGTGGCATTTGCTCTGTAGTTCACGAATCGCGAATAAATAAACATGGACACTGTCATTGCTAGTCCCGCCAGCTGTGAAATTCGTAATTTTTTTTTTTTTTAAACTCAGCCAATCGGAGAATGATTTTGGAATCGCCCTCGTATATTAACAACACAAGACTCTAGTAACCACGTAATTGTTATAACCTTGCTGTCCTTTTTATGATGAAAATTTTTGTTATTTGAAGCCCCACCTTGGCTCTTGCCAGGGGCTGCAATAAAGCCTGGTCATAATTATGGCCATAGCGCTGTTTCTGGGACCTCTCCACTGGTGATCCTCATCCACATGGTTGCACTTTGTGTCATTGGGTGTTTATCGCTTGTGTGATGTCCTGGTTGGGTAGAAAGTCAGTCAGTCAGTAACCACGGCAGTAGACTGGGGACAAGTTCTATGCACTGTGCTTACACACGTAAAGGCACAGTAACATGTCACAGATCACCCAAGAAATACATAGGCAGGATATAAATGATACTAGTACTGAGATAACTTTATGGGAACCAAATGCCGTGGACCATCGTTTGTTGCACGGAGCGTTAAAATCAAAAAGAGAAGGTGAACCCAATCTACAGTGGGGACCAAGTAGAGTCCTGGAAAGTAAAGGCAGACATTATGATGCTGACCACATCACTCACCGAGTGACCATTGGTCTGTAAAAACGTCTCTAACATCATATACCCGATGCACTTCTGGCCTTAAAAGTGTTCTTCACCGTTACCATTTGACGTACCGGGTTTCTCTTTGCTTTTTTTTTTAAAACGTTTTATTTATTATCTAAGCTTGCTGTTTGTTATTTTCATGCGACTGCTGGTGTTTTTGTTGTTGTTTTCCAGACATATGCATTTCTCTTCTTGGCATTTTAACATTTAAAAAAAAAAAAATCGTGGCAAAGGACCTTGAGTTTCAAGTTATGTGTTATTGCTTTCCCTGTGATTGCCCATCTTAGAGTTTGCAGCTCCTCCAGCACTGGTTGAGGCCAGCAGGTGTGATCGCTCATTCCCTGGTTTGGAATGTGGCTTGCCTACCTTTAGTGGAAGCGGGGCTGTGCAGAATTATCTGTGTCAAAGTAGAAAATTTGGTTTCTCAGTCTTCCTTTATCTCTGTGTATGTCTGGCAACAGTATGTCTCTTTATTGTCTGTATCTGGTTCTGCATCTTTTAGACGGTCTGCTCGTGTTTGTATTTCCATGAATGCCCATCCTTTTGCCCTACCTGTTTCTGTCTTACTTTCTCTTCCTGCCTCTGTGTATTTCTGTATCTCTCTGTCTCTGTCTCTGTCTCTCTGACTGTTTCTGTATCTCTTTATGTTATCTGCCTGCCTGTCTATATTGCTGCCTGCCTGTTTCTT